GCAAAAATCCTGCACTAAAACTTTAAGCCTCTTGACTTGTTCTTTCTCAGCAATGCTGATTAGGTGGACTGTTTTCAGTTGATGCTTAGTTTTTCCAATTATAGATTCTGGAATATAAAATTACTATGATTATGATTATAAACTGTTGCATTACTAGATACTAAAAAGTTTAATGTATATGAATACGCTCAAAAGGCTGCAAAGATCTTGCTCCAAAATAAGCCTGAAACAATTTTACGAGTTGAGTGATAGAGGGTACCAAAATTCTGCATTGAAGATGCAGGCGTGTGAGGGTGAAAAACTGAATTTGGAAATTAGCATCAGGCGGAGCTCATGGAAGCCACATTTTTTGGTGCTGAACTTAAAGTAGGCTGCTTCAGCACTTGTTGTGGAAAGAGTTCCTCGAGGAAATGCAGACATCTAATTAGGATGCCTCTGGGGTTCTTCCCTAAGGGGGTACATCAGACAAGTCAGACTGAGAGGAAACCTGAGGTAAACCCTCAATTATGTATTCTGTAGATAAACCGCAAGATCACCCAGGTAGAGCTAGAAGGAAGAAATAATACAGTGAGAAACAAAATACGTATTATAAAAGTTTGTGTTTTGGTAAAATGTTAAGAAATACTCCAGAACTTGCAAACAGCTGAAAAATGTAACCGAAAACAAAAGAAGGAACATTTCAAAATTGTTTTCTTAAATGTTCATCTGAAAAGATTTTCCGAATTCAATCTTTGGGGAAATTTACCTGTGTCTAAGCTGCAACAAAAACCTCTATTAACACAAAGGATTGTCCCTGATCCTGGTTGAATAGCTGAATGAGTAGGTGGATTGCTGTGGTCTAATAAGAGAGACCAGTAAAGCATTTATTAACTGCTCATTGCGAAGCAGAGACACCTCCGCTAATGGGAAAAGCGATGATGGTGGGAGGGTCTTTAACCCCTATAAGCCAGTAGGTTGAGAACAACGAAGAAATTACTTTTTATTGACAACAGATGTAGTAATTCAAATGAGAACCAATCATTTTTCATTTATTCAAGCTGAGCAGTGAAAGCAATTTCATCCCTGGCAATTTCAGACAACTTAAGCCATGATCAGCAAAATGACGTACACCAAATGCTTTTCCTGCATGTATGTGTGACTGTAATGTCTTATGTACTTAGAAAAAAAAAAAAAGCTTACGTCAGTTTCATTTGAGAGTTGTCAGCAAAATTGGAGGCTGCATTCGAGCAAGGAAATGAAATGCTGGCATCAGGGAAGGAATTATTTATGCAGCCTTTCATTAAAAACCAGTAGCACCAGTAGTTCTTTTTTCATATAGCATGAATGGTGACCTGAATGCTGTGATGCATTTTTTATTTTTATCACCCAAGGGGACAGCTCCATAACTGCCTGAGGCTTCCTACTCATCAGACAGGCAACAGGGAGGTAAAGGAAGAGGGAAACACTGAAGGGAAGGAAGCTGCTGAAGCGACAGACGGGAGGTAGCATTGTTTACTGCTGTACAGCTGTCGGTTATCAGCAGAAGTTTCTACAAACCAACAAACATCCCGAGCGACTCCAACATGAAGTTTTTGTGCTGATACACATTTCTGTCTTTTTATGCAACACCCACCGATATATCCACTGCACAGTAGAAGTTTTGTAAGTTCGATGAGACAAGTGAACTCAGATTCCCTTTAGATTCTCTAAGTTAATAACATTCCATATGACAATATAATTCGCTCTTGTGGGAAGCTGCAGGAAAAAAATGAGGCTACAAATGTCAAAGCAGGTCAAAATCTTTGAATAGTTGTTGGCTCAATTAATCTGGGTGTCATATCACAAGCTGTGAGCACAGCATGTCCAAGTGGCCTCTGGCCTTAGCACTTTGTCGACCGCTGAATCCTTTCTGTGCCACATTACAGCTTGCATTGCAATAACAGGAATATTTAATTTCCAGGTTTGCATTGTTACACATAAGGGCTGTTTTTATTTCCATATTCATCTGAGGGAAAGGCAAAATAAAATAATGACATAAATTGATAATAAAATAAAGTTTTAAAAAGAAAAAGTTTTAAAACTACAAAATAATCCACAGCTCTCCCATGATTTCAGTTTCTTTGTCATAGTGATCTCCTATTTCTCCAGCAAAAAAAACAGAATAATAATCCAACGACCCTTCACCATCTGTTCCTGTCTGCAGCCAATCAGCAGCCTGAAGCCAACTATAACTAGATGTTAAAATGAATACTTCACATTTTACCAATAAATTTAGTTTTTACGTTTCTTTTTTTTCTTTTTCTGCATATTCTTGTGTTTTCTATTTTTCAATACCTGAGTCTTCTTGCTTTTTGTCAGTGTTTATATTTTTGCTGATTATATTGTTGCATATATGTCTTATGCTGTTGCTGCTACATTAGATAGAATTGAATGTAGAATTGGGAGTTCTTGAAAATTCAGATAAAGGTTAAAAGAAGTCATGTATGTAGCAGACAGATGCTGTTATTGCATACAGGCATGTTATGCATGTTATTAGACCAACTGTTTTTTTCTCTTATTTATTATTCTGAAGGTATATTTCCTGAGGAATACCACAAATGAAAAAAAAAAAAAAAAATGTTGAATAATTTTAAAACAAAGGTACCAGTTATTTGCAGACATAATTCCTACCAATAAAGCAGAACAATATTCAAACAACGATGCATAGATGTTTTTTTTTTTTTGCAGATAGGTTGCAAACAGAGGTCGGAGTGATATAAAATGTCAGAACAGGAGCCAAAACAATTTTTACTGCAAGAATAACAATCATGTGACACTTGAAGTGGTTTATACAGAGGACACAGAATATCTAAGCAGAGAGGATGAGCTCATTCACCTTCAAGATAACATCATTCTCAAGAAATGTAACATTCTTAACCTGCATTGTAAAAAATCTATTTGAATGGATCATAAAATTCATAAACATTGCTAGTACATGAGAAGGATTCCTTGCCCTTGGCAGTAAGGCCAGCACATGGAAAACAACATCTTGTGTGTGCCAAAGCATGACAATGAATAATTTCAAACTAAGCAAAACAAATCTAACTCACCAAACAGTGATGTAGTCGTAGATGGGTTCAGTATTGATGACAGAGAAATTTATGTAGATGCCGTAGCCTGGAGGTACTCTGACACTCCACATGCAGTCCTGGAAGTGTGGGTACTCAGCGGGGTGTCCAGGGGAGTAAATTGTACCATTCATGGATGTTATGTTTCCACCACAGAGAGCTGAAGACAGAGAAGGTGGTTAAAGATGATCGATATGAAAAAGAAAGCTGTTCTTTTCCTCAAGTTTCAAAAAATAGCTTTTATAGCTGTGTTGTCCCTTACTGTTGATAAAAAAAAAAAACATAAAAGCATGGTTTGTTTTTTTTCCTTGTGACAATAGAGAGGGGGTGTACCTATAAGATACCACTGCAAAGCAAAAGCTCTTCTCACTGACAACTTGATAACCCAAATAACTTTGAAGATAAAACCTCCTCTGTCATGATCTAAGCTAAAAATACTACCCTAAGGTCTGAAAAAGGCATTTGGAGTTGCAAGGTGTGATATGAAGGAAGCGAAACAGAAGTATTCACTGGAGAATGGGGACTTGCTGACCTAAAATGTTCCGTATTGCTTCCCTTATCTAATCACAGATATCTTGCCGAGTGGAGAGAAATCTGCATTGTCTTTTTAAATTTACAAGGTATCCTGGCAATTTCAGTTTTTGTCATCAAAGGATTTGCGAATAGCTCAGCACGTTACTATATTATCTAATGCAATACTTTTTGCTTAGTCAGTAGCTTTTTTTCTTTAAGGAATAAAGAATATGAATACCAGTGGACATAAAAAAAATACCTTAAAATCACGTTTGAATAATGTTTTTGTTTAAGTTCTTCCTGATAGAAAGGTATATATGGGATTGAAACTTTTTGAATGCTTTTTTCTACAATATATACTCTTTTTATATTGTCTGTGTATTTTTATCTTAAGGGAATCTTACTTTCTCTTTGTACTCTATATAAGCTACTGGAACTAGAATTTCCCTGAAGGAGTAATCCCAAAAACTAAAAACTAAAATCCCAAAAAAAGTTGAGTCTAAATCTAAGTCTATGGTTCTTTTTAAGCCCCTTTCTGTGAAAGCAATATAATGTTTTTAAAGGTTATTGAACATTTATCCATAAACATAACGTTTAAACTTCTATATTAGAGGTTACTCAAAAGAAAAGGTATATATATATATATATATATATATATATATATATATATATATTTTTTTTTTTATAAATATGTATATAAAACATATATATGTTTTTTTTTTTAAACTGAACATATTTAAAGAACATACTTTCTGGGTCTGATACAAGGAGATGCAGTGCAGATAAAACAACAAAATAATGTTTGTAAGCCACAGCTGGCCCTCACCATCACATTTAGGGATGGGATGATTCCAGTTTCTGCTTACTCCATGCAAACATGTGAGGGAGGCCTCTCCAATAAGAGTGTATCCCTGGAGACACTCAAAAGAAATGGTCATCCCCACACTGTAGTCTTGACCAATCACCAAGCCATTACGAAAAGGCCGGGGATCTGGACATCTCTGCAGCTCATATGCTGGAAAAATAGTTCACATCAAATCTTAGTAAGAAAATATTTTAACACATAAAATACATGTTATTTAATAAAAAAAATATTCACATAGTTTATTACTTCTATCACATAAACACTAGACACATCAGTGCATGATGTATGATGTTATACTACTAATAACAAGTGCGTAACTTTGAAGTGGTAGGAAAAATATATATTTTCACAGATAAAAAAAGGAAATCTGAAATGTACAATGCACATTGTTATGCCCCGTTTAATCTGATTTCCTTTTATAAAATATGGTTCAGCCAATTGCATTCAGAAAGCAGTTGATTTATAAATAGAGTCCACCTGTACGTATGTAAGTGAATCTATTTATGAAGTATATTCGGTATATAAAAACAACAATGTCCCAAGATTAAAACTCAGGGGGCTGCTGTTCAATCCGTCATCCCAAAATGGAAAAACAACTGCAACTGCAACAACTACCAAATCATTGCCGTCTGAAACTGAAAGGCTAGGAAAGAACATTAATCAGAGAAGCAGACCATAGATTCAGAGAAACTCTGAAGACGCAGCACGGATCCAGAGATTAGGTTGGAAAATCTTTCTACCAAACACAAATAGCTTATAAATATGGCCTTTTTTGGAGTTCATTATTCCATAATAATTCCCTTTTACCAGATTTTTTTTTAAATTTTTTTTGGTGCACCTCACTTTTCAGATGTATTTGTAAACAAAATCAAATAATTGCATACATACCGTTGGACTGTCACATAAATTCAATTCAGTTTATTTATATAGAGGCAATTCACAACATATGTCATCTCAAGGCACCCTACAGAGATATTTCAACCAGATCATGCAGTCAAATTGATTCAAAGATTTCTATCTAAGGAAAACAAGCTGATTGCATTGACTCATTGACTCCTTAGCAATCCCACCCACCAAACATGCTTGTAGCGACAGTGGAGAGGAAAAACTCAGTTTCAACAGGAAAAAACCTCCAGCAGAACCAGGCTCAGTGTGAGCGGCCATCTACTGAGGCCGACTGGGGTTCAAGCGAAGGCAAAAAAATCCCCCCAGAAGTGTATTGCCCTGCCTTATGATGTGATAAAATGGGAAAGGTACACAGGAAGTCAAAAGTACTGTAGGGGACTCTATAGAGGACAAGTACTTATGTTGTACTGTATAACTATCTTTAAAACATATTAAATTATGTTTAAAAGAATTGTAGGTTGAACCTACTGTTTAGAGTAGGGTGTTATTGATAATTTCATTTAAAATTAGCTTGAAAGCAGGAAAATAATTCAAATATCATGTGAAATGTTAAATCTCAAGAAACTTATCTTTAGCTCTAAAATTACATTAAAACTGATTCAATTTACTTTATAAATTATTTTATATCCTCTCTCAAAGGTTTTTTTTTTTTTTTCTTGTCTGTTCTAAATTATGATATTTACTCCTATACTGTACCTGCTGCTACAACAAAACCAATTTCAGGACAACCAATCTTTGGTTCTTACCCTGGTAGACAATGTGGAAACCAGGCTTGTTCTGGGAATAGTCACTGTGGAAGAAGAGTGTGGTCTCATGTGTGGTGCTAAAGAGAGAATTAGGCACCACTGGGCCGCTGAAACGATCTATCAATGTTCCCGTCTCAAGGGTCCCACTGCGCACCTCCAAATAGTCATGAACAGGCTCTGTGGAGAAGTTCAGAAACTGCAGATGGATCCCTAAAGTGCAAAATGGAGAAGTTAAACTCAAAGGGAGGTATTGTGAATAAAAATATGCTATATTGTTCTAATATGTTAGCTCAGGTTATTTAAGAAGAGTATTTTGTTACTAGAATGAGACAGCATGAAAGTTCTTTGCATGCAAACACAGAGAAGATATCACGTCTCTTGCTATACACATTTTATATTGTCAGACCAATAAGACTTCCTCTTGAATCACTCTAATTTTCTAGACGAGTAAAGGCTAAAATTACTTGCTCTAAGGTAAAATTTCAATCATGAAGGCTTGCTCATCAAATAATAATTTGCAGTTTAATGCAGTTCTGTGAGACTGCAAGACCAAATGGCTAACATACTTTGACATACTTTGAGCTACAGCCCACAAACTCAAGTATTTGATGTGTTGGAGCCTTTGGGGTACATTTCACTTATCATGTTCATTTATCAATTCTTTCAGGTTACAATCAAGCTAGTAGACCACAAAATACCCTGACTGTTTCCAGTACAGTATTCAGAAAATGTAGCCTGCAGCATTGGTAAGCATTCTGCTTTAAACCAACCCCACTTCAAACGATCAGGTACTGTAAATGGACAACTGAGTAATAGTAGTAAGGATATCAAATTATGATATTATTGGAAAATAGATATAAATGACCTATTGCAGTTTTGGACCAGCAGTCAGTATTTCTACAAGCTTACCAAAGACATATGAGTTTGGACTCTCGGGACAATATTAAGTTATTCTGTTTTTAAATATGTTAAAGCTAAGTTTGATTGTTGCTTTTTTTAAATGCATACTTTATTGACCTTCAATATATAATTTTACAGTCTAAACATATACACAGTCACTTAATAGTAACCACTTTGTTCAGAAAAAGTTCTTGAATATTCATACCTATAAGATAACAAATTGTTCTGTCAGCAAACAAGAGCTATTTTAACAATAAAGAAACAATGAAAATAAGAAAACAACAATAAAATAATTAAAAAAGTAAGCAACAAACCGGGTAAAATGTATTCATTCTGTTTAGTTTTCTTACTTTTCCTTTCTAACTAACTAAAATCTGCCCAACAATTCTTGTACCCTAAACAAAGTCAAATCTGTGTTTTCTTATATAATGTAACCATCCATTCCAGTACTATGTATTTTTTGAATATGCAATCTTATGGAAGAAATTTCTTTCTTACTATTAGAAATATTTAAGTATTTCATCCATCCTTCCACTTTAGACACCAGATCACATATTTCCACAGAAGATATGGAAATGATCTGCTTTTATGCAGCACAGGATAACCAACATTTGGTATCTACATATTTTCTTTTGCCAGAGCTTATATATTTCCAGCCATGTCCTTTCCTAAAATATGAATTTATGGTATTTTTAAATTGTTTTTCATTCTATTAATGACTTAGGCTTCAATTACAACCTTTATGATGTTCAGCTATAAGGATTTTAGACTTAGATTTAAGATATCTACAAAGCCTGATTCTGCAGATGGCATTTTCCTTTTAATTGTTGAAAGCTCACCCCTGCTTGTTTATTAATACACTCCTAATACCACCTGGACTCTTTTTTTCTGCAATTTAAACCTACCATGCAATTAGGTGAGAATTATAGATGATAATTAATCCACTTTAAAAAATCTATGGGGAATTATGGAATCAGATTTCTCGGTTATTGTATTTCACATCTCAATAGATGTACCCAACCATAGGGTTATTTTTAATTTTAAATTAGCAGTTAATTTTTTATCACTGATAGTAGTTTGTTTTGGTAGACCCTCTGTAAACCTTTCCTCTATGCCCATCTTCCTGAGGAATTTGGATCACCTAATTTTACCAAAGGTTTTAATTTTGCAGTTTTTTGGGTGTGAAAGAGCCAAGTCACCTTGATTGTTGATTTTACAGTTTAAAGCAACCATTATGAGTTGTGAGGGATAGAATAATTTCAGTAAAACTCTACAATAACCATCATTCATAAATACTAAAGAGACCATTTATTTGTGATTAATGAATAGCTTATTACTGTTTTATGTCATCTATAGCATCTAAACCATTTAAAAAAGGTAAATATTGCCCTGCCATTTTAGTTTAACCAGTAGAGATAAGAACTGAACCTAATCATTATTTTTAATTACCCTAACATAAGTGGGCTTAATACCTAAATAAATTATAAAATTACCTTTTATAAATGGTTTAGATACAGTTTATAATAGATTATCAAACAACAAGCTATTGATCACTATTTAATTAATCTTTAGCATCTATAAATGATGGCCTTTGTAAAGTGTAACATTTATTTATGGTCTAATCTTGTTTTTTACACAAGTATAAGGGAAAAAGAACAGAGAAATGTATGAAAAAAGCAAAGAAAACAAGCACAAACAACAAAACAGCATAAGGTCAAGCACAAAGGAAGAGGAGAAAATAATGACAGAGGGTAAAGGAGTAAAGAAAAACAGAAGGGGGATGGTGGGCGGGTTACAGACCGAAGCCAATGGGGAGTTGAACTCTCCAGGTGCAGTCCAGGCTGCTCTGGTAATTCCCTGGGAAGCCTGGGCTGAGGATGACGCCGCTGAAGTCTGTCATGGAGCCTCCACACTGGGCTGAAGGAGACCAACCGAAGAAAAAGAACATGTCACTTTTCCACAGAGGGGCTCAAAGGAAAAACAAAACAATAAAAAAAGCAACGACTAAGGCACTAAATATTCAGTGTGGGCAAACGGCAAATTGCCCTAATATTTGTGTGTGTAAATTCCAGTACATAAATCACTGCTCAGGATCTAAGCCAAAAGAGGATGTCTATGCACAAGTTGTGTAAAAAAAAAGTAGTTCATTTAGTTGAGCTCATTTTATATAGAACATAGTTGTTTTGTGCTATTTGTGCTTTTCCCCAAATGGGGCTTCATTTCTTCTTGACCGGGTGGATGATGGTCTATAAGGGCGTTCATGCAAACATACTTTGGTACACTTTGCTTTAATGGTGCTTTAAACTGTAATACATGAAGGCGTGTTATTCAACATACTACTGTAATGCTGCTTTGCTCAGGAGTGGATGCAATTACTCTACTCCCTCTCCAGGCTCTTTTGACTCAGTGTTGGAGTCTGGAGAACACTTTTGCTTGCTGTGAAGGTGACACTTATCCCTCTCTCTCCCTTGTGTGACAACAAGGTGCATATAATCTTATTAGCATTCTTCTAAATAATTTCCCTATATTGCTGATGTTTTTCAGAGAGGCAAGGCCAGATGAAAAAAAAAAACAATATAGTAAAAATAATAATAAAAAATGGTAGTGGGGGCATCCTGCTTGACCTACTTGTCTTATTTCAAATTAAAGGGGAAAAAAAGCAAAGGAGTGGATAAGCAATTTAGTGTTTGTGCAGGGGCACACAAATGCTTTGATGTGGGCTCACAAGCAACAAAATGTACTGATCCTGGGGTGTTTGAGTCAGTTTATGTGCATTAAACAACAAAGGAGTTAAACCAACAAGTGAACATGTGCAGCTCGGAACATGGCTGTCAACAGCAAAGCTGGGATTTATGTCTATGCTTAACTCCGACGACCAGAGGCATTGAACATTTACACGAACGCTGTAAACATGCTGGGACTGTAGTCAGTGGTTTTAGACACTGGAAGAGTACTTGCACCACTGGGGGTAGGTTTGTGAGGCTGTAAGATTACTTGCGTACATGTATAATGGAGGGGGGAATCACTGTGAGATGGTAAAAGAGAATATACAGTGCTGCCTAAGAAATCTTTAAACTCTATCACGGTGGCAGTCGACATCAAAGGAAATGTCAGTGAGACCACATACTCACAACGGGAGGATCAGAATTCAAGCAACCTTCCGAGATGATACAAAATCCTATTGATTTCTAGATCAAGTGGAAAGCAAAAAATTCATAACAACTATCCAACACCACACAAGCAGCATCCCTTACACCAGTCTTACGAACAAATGGCTAATGCAATTTTTTACACAGGAAAGCTTTTGCTTTTTTGTGCCCACTGATTTAGTGTTTGTGCCTTTGTGTGTGGGTAAAATATAAGGTTCAGAAAAGTCTTAACGGGGGGGATTTAAGGGTAAATGAGTCAGCAAGAAACAGCAAATAAAAAAAAAATATATAAAAGAAAAAGCAAGAGTTTGCTGATAATATAAACCCACAGTAAAACCTAATTACATTCCTAATACACAGAAGGTAATAATATGTAGAGGGCAATAATATGTAGAAGGATACGTACCAATACACAAAGGTACGGGGTAATTCCATCTCCTGACGGGACCGGGCATGCAGGTAATATATGCATTACCCTGTGCAACAAAACAAAAACAATTAATAAATGACTTAAAAAACATGTGAAATTGCAGTGTGAATGTATGGGACATTTTAACAACTCATATTTAGAAATTTCAAAAGTATTTGTTAATTCACCATTGATATATTTCAACTTCAATTCAAAAACAATTCAAAAAAACGACTTTGGCATATACGAAATGTAAATCAAAAAACCTTTCTGTTAAACATTAATCCTTTTACATAAACATAGCATGCAGCACTACTTAAATGTCCCACTTTGTTGTATCGTGGGAAATTATCAAACTTCTACTCTCAGGGCATAGAAAGATACTTTTATTAAAAAGCCACGTCTTGCTTTGTTACTTAGATATGTATTGAAATTCAGACCATCTAGGTACTTGACAGGCTCTAATAGGTCAAATAAAAAAAAAAGCCATTTTAATGCAAAAATAGGGGGACAATTTGGGCAGTTGGAGTCACTTCAAGCATGTGTCATGCTGATGTGAGTTAATCTTTATCTTTGTGTTTGCTTGACTAAATATCAGATAGAGTAAATTAATTAAATTAAAACAGTAAAAGAAAACTATGGTTCTGCCTAAGTAATCTTTAAACTCCATCAAGGTGGTAGTGGCTATCGAAGAGCATGTTAGTGACACTAAAGATCCTCGACTGGAGACTAGTTTATTGTACAAATAACACTTTGTTGCCTTAATGATGTGTATCATCTCTGATCATCACTACGTTTGCTACAAACAGATAATGTCACAAGGTCCAATTAATAAAAATAATAATTAATAATCACTTGATATCAAAATGATTATGACATATGACCAAATGAAAACAAAAGACACATTAAAGAATCAATCACTTGAGGCTGTTTTGCCATAATGGAAATAGAAGAAAGATAAACAATAATGAAAAGGGGATTCAATGGAAGTTTGTTTTTTGCAAACATGATATTTATTTGTTATACATGATCACATTGTAAAGGAAATGTGTTATACTTAATCATAACACTATTCATAACAACTGGGATAAAGCATGACAGATAATGGATGAATGGATGGATAACTATTTTAACTGACAAACATTTTTCAAGACTGAATGTTTTATTGAACACAACAACTGATCTCAAAGACTCAGCCAGTCTAATTTTCGTTTTTAGGCAAAGGCTTAAAGGCCATTTTTAGTTCAGACACTGAGTCTGAAGATGTGTGTAAAAAAAGTTGCTGGCTGGTCCAGAGAGAAAATGTGAAATGAGGTGAATGCCCAAGTCAGGAAGGGGAAAATCAGTGTGGGATTAGTGAGGCGACTGCTCACAAAATCTATTGCCTGTGGCCTTAGACAGTTCCACAGCTCAAAAGGCTTCTGAAATAGTATGTACCAAAGAAGGATTGGAAAAACTTCAACCTGCTGCGTAACATTAAACTCTGACATCCCTATAACCAAACATGAAAGAAAATTATACTCAGCTTTAAAAGTAAGGTTGCTAACATATTGGTAAGAAAAGTGCCAGTAATTTGTGCTTCCACATTCCCAAACATAAACATTTATGGTGTAAGAGAAACAGCCTGACCTACCTACCTACCCTTAAGGGGCTTCCCTTTACAATAGCTACTTTTTATGATTCATCAACCATATATGGACAAACGTACCTGCAAAGAAAAGCCTTGATCGCACTGGAAGGAGACCATGTCACCCACGGTGTAGCGATCCCCCACCTTTTGGCCGTTACTTGGAGGTGCCGGCTCTGGGCACGAATCCAAACCTATTGCTTATGACAGAGTCACAACACACAGGTGTGGACAGCGATCATTCTTCTGCATAACTTCAGAAATGATAACAAGGTTGATCAGCTTTATCCCTTTTAAATGTTACCTAAATATTTACAGTAGGGTACAGCAAATGTATGTTTATCTTGGAGACACCGGGTTCGTTAAAATCAAATGTACTACAACTGTATTTAAAAATGAAATACTGCTCACTTTTTTATCTGTCTAATTATAGCAGCCAAACCATTTAGAAACTAAGGAAAAGAATGAATTTATTATTTGTTTGAGTAATCACAAAGTCTATTTGACTATGATTTTAGCAATAAGAGTGAAAAAACACAGAGATCTCTAAAGTAATGCTTGACAGAAGCATTAGGCTGTATTAAAACAAAACGGTTATTGTTTCACTTGCCAGGTATGGAAATTAATTACTAAATTTTCTTTTGGCTTAAAAGAAAAACGGTAATGGTTTAGGCTAAATTGGTGTGGGGCATTTTATTTAAATTCATCCAACATTTACTTTTACACAGAAAATACACAAAAAAAAACAACATAGTGAGATTTAGATTTAACTAAAGTGAAGTGAGCAATGACTCTTTACCTTTAAAACTTCAATATTCCTGCTTGTAGAATATCATCACTGTTTGATTGCCTTATATTTCATCACAATAGATGTATGGAAGACATGCACTGAGTAACCAACTAACCGGAAAATAATGGAAACTAATTCCAATAAGCTAACACACTATACATACCTGCTACTGGGTTGCACAGTGAAAAAAAAAACACTTTTTTTCATACGGAAGATACTATTTAGGGAAAAAAGTTTGATTTAAAACTGTTATCTACAAAGACAAGTCAGGTGTTCCTTAAGTCTGCAGGAAAGGGGATGTAAGCAAATAAGACTATGGGAAAAAGTTTAACACTAAGGTGCTAATAATCACATGATATGTAAGCTTTGAAAACTTTAGCTGTTGGAGTTAATTCAAGTTAATTCAAGTAAATGTGCTGCAATTGTTTTAATTTTAAAGTTGTTGTTTTTTTTTTTTTTGTACAGATACTTCTGTTCCTCAGCCTACACTACTGTAATCTAAATAGAGAAAAACACAGCATTGTAAGCAACATTTGTTGCAATACATTGTCAGTATTCTTTAGTTAGAATGTACTGTATATGCTTACATTTTTTTTCAGAAAGCAGAAGTAAACATTATTGTAGTGATGAGTGAAGGCTAATCTAAAGTGTCTTTGCAGCAAAGGGAAATTGCATTTTTTTATCGTTCTGTTTAGTACAAGAGCAAACCTTTCATGTATACCTTGAAATGGCAGTAAAATGCACATGACTGTACAAACTCAAACTCATTCAAACCTACTCAGAGTGTCAACAAGTCCAAACAAGTAGGTGGATAAGATTCTGTAAACAAGGGAACAGATAACAGCCATATAATATTTTAGAACAACACAGTAACTCATCAGAGTGAAAAATAGCACAAGTGATGATTCCACTCAACACCTAGGGGAAGTTAGACTGAATATTTGTGTGGGAGGTGATGGTAAGCAGAAAGGGCATAGAGCATTGAGGTCGATGTAAGCATCCACATGCAATAATTCAGCCAAAAAAGAGCTACTGTAACGGTGGAACACAAGATTCTTACATTTATGGGTTTATTCAAGAATATTGCTTAGAACGTTTTCATGTTATCAAGGAGACTTGGTTCTGCAAATCCCAGAGTGAAGTTGCTGTCATAGCGTACAGCATGCCTGCCTGGGGGTAAGTGTGACATCAAAGTACAAAGCAGCCATAAATTTAAACAGTTCTATGCAATTATCATATGTCCACACTGTAAGGAATAGCCATACTTTTCTTTGCACTGTTCTGAAAAAAGGGTCAAACCAATTTAAAGTGAAATTAATATAATCTACTCCGACAGCACTTTGAACGAAAAGTCCCTAAAAAAAAGACCGGAATTTACTTTCAAATATTACAAAGCTAAAACTTAAATATATGGGTTTTATTAGAAATGAACTAAGAAATAAGGTAAAGCCCTCCTTCATTTTTGGTTTTAAATAAAATCAGTCTTTAGTCAAGCATTTCTTTTTTTGGCACTTACTTCCTTAGTTTGATAAAAAAAAAAAAAAAAGAATAAAACAAAACAGCAAGAGCACCCTTTGAAGTACAGTTTTGTGTTGGAACAAGTGTCCACTAACATATGGCTGAGGTTTCAGTGAAACTCTGAAACAGACCTTAAACACTTTACATTTTTACAGGTGCTGTCTTCTTTTGGTCAGAAAGTTTATGTGTCCCAGCATGAGCAGCCATGTTTGGAAAGAGTCCAGTCCTTGTTCAACATAGCTGGCATTTCAACAGGCAGCCTTGCCAACTGTATTTAGCCAATTAATTCTGAACCATGTGAGCTGCATATGCTGCGTCAATGTCAAGGCAGAATAAATCATAAAAAGCAGCTTTGTCTGATATTGTTTTTTTACTTGGAGATTTTTCAACTGAAAATAAATGCAACAGTTATTACATTAACTATTTCAATTTATTATATCAGGAAAGGCAATAACACCTGTTTAGAATTCAAAATAAGTAGCTTAAGGCTTTTTTTTTTTATTCAGACACAGCGCACAAAGGAATGGAAAAAACAAACAAACTGAATGTTAATAAACATGAATAAAAATGTAAGTAAAGCTAACGATAATTTAGAGGCATTTTAAAGTGCTGATAGAAAGCTCTAATGGTCAGATAAGAATGATTAATAGGCAAGGTTCTTTTTAGTCAATTTAATCAAAAGTGTCTGTATTTGTGTACTTATAAAATAGCATTAAGAGAGCATGCATTGTCAATACTTAATCACTCGTTAATGTTCTTAAATTTGGTAGCCTTTATACAACGAACAAAAAATAAGTTAGTTAAATTTGAGAAGTTTTAACAAACACTTAGCTTCTTGACAATCTTAGAGTCAAGTAAGAATATTTATTCCTTAGGAAATATGCTTGGAGACTGCTAATATATTTTTATTCCTGGACTCATATCATTTCATTTGACAGCTGTTAAAGGGAAATCAGAATTTATTCAAATTGGTAAACTTGGAAAACTCATGCCTATATTGATATTAACTGATTACTGATGTAAAACTCTCCACTGAAGGGTTTTTGCTAGTTGGGTGTATGTAACAGTAATGATCATTATAAAATTATTTATGACCAGCGGGACAGGGAGACAAAATCATATTGTTTTTTAATTACAACGAAAAATATAAAATATATGAAACACAGAACTGCAGAGCAATCTGAAAACAAAGCATAGCAACAATATGGTGTTGTTTAGGTCTGTATTTAACATGCATTTCATCTTATTTAATTAAATATGTCAACTTTAAGCATGATTGATCCCCTCTGAAATTAATGTCTGTAATATATACTTTGATCATGCTTTATATGCTAAACCCAGTGATTGGAAAAAACAAAAAAAAACAAAACATGTAATGAGATATCCGGAGAGCTAAAAAAACCCAACAAATTAAGTGATTGATTAACCACTACAAACTGAATGGATCACAGTGTAATGGATAATTTGGGATTTACTTGTTTACTGATTTTGAGTAAATACCTTTTTAGACAAACCATTATATCTATGCTCCCCTAAATATTGTACTAAGACAGCAGCACATCAAAATGTATACAGTATCATATTCTGGGCATCAGGAATAAAGTTAATTTTCTGTTAAATAAAGCGGAGCTTAAGAGTTTCCCCCCTTCCTTTCCGAGCATGCACAAAAATGACAGGAATGCACACCTCCAAAGTATAGTATAAACTCTATACTAAGTTTCTGGCTTAACCTCTCAAAACCCACCATTTTAAAGCATTTACAAATAATACCTCAGAATGCATAAAAATTACACTGGTAAAATGTTTCCATGTTAGACATCGTTGAAAAGCTTAGCTTCTCCACAATTCAACCACCAACTTCATTTTATGGACATACTGTAGCGAGCTCCAAAGCACAATTAACACAGATATAGCAGCATGTCAAAATGTACCATGACAAAGCAGCCACAACAAGCAAGCATGTCTTTATTACCGCTGTTCAAAAGATACCTTTTTTCGGGAATAAGAAAAAAAAAAAACTTTAAGCCATGTTTAAATTGATGCAGCTTGGGTGTTTTACTCACCGAATTTTCATGTATATATACATATATATCAGAAATTAGAAGGTGTTAGCTTTGAAATAATGTATCACACATGTAACTTGGGCTTACAGTTCTTAAGTTATTTGCTTTTCCATTTGGCTATGCAAAATAGGCGAGAATTTCCCAAAATGAGGTGGATGTATTAATATGAGTTTTGTCAGGCAGTTGCTTAAATTAAAACATATTTGTCACCTTGAGAAAAAGAAGTCTTATCATTTTATTGTCAATACAAATGGGGGTGATGAGGAGGAAAATATGAAAGTAGCAGGTTAAAAAGAGCTTAAGTCAGAGGAATGGGAGTTTTGCTTGTATGCTGAAAATGTTTGGTGTTTGTCAGTTCTACTGGCTTGCACTAGAGTGTCTCATAGTATGTGTTCACTAACCCTTTATTTAAAAAAACGACTCTGGATAAGCTAGCTTTAAGATCAGACTTTGTTTCATCAAAATTATCTATTTTCTTCACTTAAAATTATATAAATATTGCTGCTATATCAATTGTAGTAGATGAGAAGAGCATCAAGATTCAAATGTGATACGTTCAATAAAAAAAGTAAAAATTGCTAAAGAGTATGCTGTTGTTTTACGCCCAAAAAGGTTGCTTTGAAGAAGTTGAAAAGTGGTAGACCTATGAAGCTTAAATCTTTCAATTAAACATGAAATCTTGCTTTCAAATGTCTGATCTTAAATGTATAACACTATGTCAACGTTTTATTCATTATTTTTTTGTACAAAAATATACTAGACAATGAAAAGGATGATGCTCTCATTGAATGTCACTGCTTCATTTGGATGTAGGACAGTGGGTGGCACCATCTGTCTGCTTTATACTGTACCATATTATAAACAGCTAAATTAATATCTAATGTTCAGCTTTTTGGAAGTTTCACATGTACTTGGTTGGTCTAAAATAACAATTTGTGTAGTAAAATAATTTAAATAATGAACAAAACTTCACAATAAGTATGTTCAAGGGAAAGCTTTTGAATTTATTGTACATATCTGGAATATTCAATTTACTTAAATGTATAGAATATTATATATATGTCATTCTGTGATGAGTAATGCTTTTTAATTAACAATTCAAAAAATTCAAAGCAGTTGGCATTTATCATCCCACCATGGTCTTCAGAGAAAGTAATTTTCTGAAAAAGACTAAAATAACTTCCTTTCTACATGTAGGGTGAATTAGGGTAAATTATAAAGGTCTATGACAGGAAAATTACTAAAAACCTTAGTGAGGCTTTTTTGAGAGGACTGCTTGGAAAAACCTCTTCCTTTACAAAAGAAAACTAAACATAAATAAATGGTTTGGTTTATACTTATATTTACATTCAAGTCACTATAATATTTCTGGACCCAAAGAAACAGCCATAATCTGTAGCAAAACAAAAGCAAAGCAAATCGCTATCAGTATCTTAATACTGATCGTGTTTAAAACTAAGTACCAGACATATACAAGACTGTTGAATAACAGAGTCCTGGCACAGGAGGAACTCTAAAACATATGGCTTAAAAATAATCAAGCTGCTGCAATGGTCCAGGCACAGTCGAACCTTAACCTAATAAAAATTTTGTGGTGGGGTCTGACAGCTCTTTGTAGATGAATGGCAGCAAGTCTGAAAGAGCTGAATCATTGCTGTTCATGCCAAACTTCATCCACAAGAGTGCAAGAGAATGACAAGGTCACATTGCAAACAATTGCTTAGTTAGAGCAGCTAATGGTTGTTCTACAAAGAAGTATTTTTAGACATGTTCTATGCTTGGATGCAGTTTGATCTAATAAAACCTAAAGATCCCACATTATGCAAAAATGTACTGCATAAACATTTTGTAACAGTCCTATGTGTACTGTAGCCTGTGTATGAGATTCAAAAATGAAAAAAAAAAAACCTTTCAACTATATAACTGCCTTGAAAAGCATTCCCCATATGATGTCATAAGGGGAAATATGCTGTCTAAAGTGGTCTGTAGCAGCCCATCGGTCAAGCTATGACCTTTATCTAATGTATTATGCTGTGCTCCTAGTGCTATGTTTATCTTTTTTAAGTTTCAAATCTAGAATAGAGTAAAAAATTAACTATTAAAATCTTGCCTTTATTGAATTTTTATATTAAAAGCTGTTCTGTTTAGAAATACTAAACCTGTACAAAAAAATAGTTTGGAATTGGGTCTTATTCCGAGGCTTAAGAGCTTTCCCCATACTGTACTTTGCAACAGATTCAAAGTGAAAAACAGACACAGAAATGCCCACAGAGAAACGTGTCACTGAAATGATTCTCAGCAAATGGTGCTAAGAGCAAGAGGGAGTATAGCTAGACTTTACCTCTGAATATCTTATGAAATACAAAAGATATACAGACTGACATATGCTGATATGGAAGTGATTCTCAACTGTGGAGTATCGCTAAGGGAGATTTTTGACAGACACTAAGGAGTGACTAAACTATGATGTTTCTTTACACTGGCATGAATTTGTGAGATCAGTTAAAGTGAACTGAGATTAACTCTTATGCAAGGATGAGTGTTAGGAAAGTTCTTATATGTCCTTCCAGCGTTGTCATGTCATGTATTGTCTCAGGACCATCGACTTCATGTTTTCTCTGAATTTACAGTTTAAATTGGCTGTAACTTTTGTAACAATCTTCTCAATACATCTCAGAGGTTAAAAGCAGGTTTTAGAGTCACACTAGCTTATTATAATAGCAGGTTGATAAAGAGAAAATCCCATTGGACAACATAATTCGGAAGCAGATGGGAAAAAAAACAGTTATCCATTCGATGAATACAGAAGGAAAAGAAAAACACTTAATATGTCAATCACAGTGGACTGTTTTATTAAGAATTACCCTTATTCTCATTTGCAAATTTATTTGACTTGAGGGGACGAAGCAAATGAGTCCCTCCACAGGGACTAGCCACACTCTTTAAATGTTAGTACACAATGCTCCTTTTGGAAAAAAAAAAGCCTCAGAGTGATTCCCCCACTGAGAGATGAGCAAATTCAGGTCGTAAATAAAGCGGGATGCGAGTCCAATAACTTGAGGCTATGCACAAATTTAAAAAGCAAGTGCACTTGGGAATACCAGGCTGTAATAGAAACGATGCCGGCACAAAGACTTGAAATTAAACTATGAAGAGAATAAAAAAAAAAATACATTCTCTGTTCTACTTTCTGTCTCATGAATTTTCTATCTACGGCTGACTGTGCTATCCAGAACAGCTGTGCCGCTTATTTCTTCTACCCTGGAGCAGCAGCTGTAAGTTACAGCAGGCGAAGAAAGACCAAAATACAAGGAAGCGGACATGCCATCTCTCATACCTGTGTACTCCAAGTGGAAACCAGCAGCAGACACGCTGATGTCAGACTGGAAGGTCAAGTACAGGTTGTTGGATGTACTGTTCAGCAATTGGGGGATTGTTGTACCTGCATTATGAAATACAGATAATGCATTTACACATTCAACTTTGTACAAAGTGATTACTTTTAAAAAGCAAGCAATAGTTTTTATACAATATCAATAGCACAGTATCAATGAAGACTTTTACAAAGCAATAGCATTCAGAATACTTTAAGAATGACACATCATCAATTTTCTGGATTTTAGGGCCTATCATGGTTTAATGTTACATTTCAGCTTCACTAAAATGCAACTTATTTCAGTTCTTGTGATTGAAGTATGTTTTAATGAGATGCCAGAGAGGGTGCTGGACGTTCTCTGGTAAGATGGCATTTCAGGAATTGTTTCCTTTCCCCTACTGGTTAGAGGAGGCAGCTGTCTATCAGGATTGGATTGTTGCCTTTAACTTGCTTTGGAAGTCGGTGCTCCGATCAAGGAATAATGTCCTGCCTAAGCTGAATGAATTCTAGCGGTCAGTGGGAAAACCACTGGGATTGAAACAATAGAAGAGAATAAAAAAATCCTTCTTATGTCCAAATGCATAAAGAAGACGTCCCTGTAAATAAGGTGCAGGTCACAGACCTTTACAGCAACAGAATGCTCACTTTAAGGGCTACAATGAAAAAAGAAAAGAAAAAAAAAAACTGATTGAACATTTTTTTTCTTTATAAAATAGCTGATACCAACGGAGCACCACTCAATACTATTCATCAGGAGCCTGGTCATGGCGCTAATATGTTTGGTGATATACTCTAAACTAGAGGTAAAAAATTACTTAAAACAGGAGTATACTTTAAGATTGTTTAAAACTCCTCCTGATAAAAATCTGTTGTTGGACCAAGTGTTTAAAACTCCATAATCACAACATCTTTTCTCTTAAAGTTAGCATGTCTATCTGTGAAATAAACAGGATAAGCTTGCCATTAAGGCAGGTTACATTTCTAACTAGTAAACCTTTATTTAAAAAAAATATTTTAAAAATCCTCATGAAATTGCTATTATTTTATTTTATTGTTTTACCTTTTAATATTTTACTGTAAATAAACTTGCACATTCTATTGTTCAGCTGGGTTCCTAAAATACCAAATTTTAATTTGAGTATTCCTCACCACCTTTGAGAAAAATTTATTTCAAAAAGGACCACAACTATGAAAAATATTGAATGTGGAATTAAAAAAATGTTGGAAATTTATGTTCATTCAAAAAAGTACTTACGTTTAGCCTTGCTAACATCAGGGATATCTTATTCGTTATCAGGGGCATGTCTTTGGAAATTTGCAAGCTGATTTTGACATGGAGTGTAGAGATAATAATGGTTATCAGCTCAGGCCAGGCTAAAACTGATTTCTGATTTAACCTTTTCAATCTGTATTTCAGATCTGCTTTGTTGGAACTTTACCAGAGAGCTGTTTTACTATTCAAAGAGGTTTGTTCTAAATGAGATATTCACCCTTTTAAAATTTTTGACAGCTCATCTCATAAAACTGATAATGTAGCAGAAATCATTTTGCTACACCATTCCCTCCTACATTAGGATTTAGCTTATGAAATAATGGGATAGCCTGTTTCTTGTTAGTTACCATGTGGCAAGTGCAAAATTTTCATTAATGCAAGCCCAGTGGCAATGCTAAATCTTTGAAATTCCTGACTAAACTGGGGCTCATATAATGGAGATTTCTGCTGCAAAGACAGCCTTGCAGGAGGGAGAAAGATTTTTTTCCCTCTCTCTTGACTTCTTAAACTTGATTTTATACAGCCTTCTCAAAGGACATACCAAATGTCATCAGCCCCATCACCACATCTGTCTCTCTGTCTGCTGCTATAGTTTTGTGACATCCGATTGAAATTCAACAGGGAGCTGACAAATAAAATTTTTCTATATGAGATTTACCCGAGTAGCTCCCAAGCCTTGGAGCGTTGCCATCTACGCCATCAAAAAAGTCCAATGAATCCCAGTTATGTTCAGTGGCAAAGGTCACAACCTGAATCTAAATAGAAAATAAAACAGACTTAGTTCAGCTTAAAGGTCAGCTAAATGGGCTAAAAACATTGCTACTATATATATATATAGATAGATAGATAGATAGATAGATAGATAGATAGATAGATAGATAGATAGATAGATAGATAGATAGATAGATAGATAGATAATGATAAAGATTAATGAAAAAAAAATATGTTTGACGCTCCCACCTGTATACCTGCCCCCTCAGGAACAGATATTCTCCAAGCACAGTTCAGATAATTTGAGTATGTCTCAGGGTATCCAGGAGAGAGGATGGTGCCTCGACGTTCAGTTAACACTCCACCACAGGGAACTTTAAAAAAGGATAATGTATTGGGAAAGAGTTAAAACACAACAAGAGATGAGTCAGTCGTGATCACAGTGACAAAATAGAAATTGTTTGGGAGTGACAGTGCCAACAAAGGTATCTACATTTTAAAAGTTATTATTCAATATTAGTACATAAAACCCCAATGTACTTTTTAGGGATTTTTGGTGGTAGACCAACAGCGAAAGGAAAATTATAGTTTCAATATTTTCAAGACAAACAGCTAGAAAAATGCCTTCATGCCTTTATCTTTAATACTTTATCTAGCTACATTTCTCTGTTATTACAAAAGTTGGGTGGGGATGTCTACCAGTTATTCAAAATGTAGTCCTATCCCTAGAGAGAGAAAAAAACCCACCAAAGCACATACTCTAGCTACAAATGTTTGCTAATTCTTCTATGCAATTTTAGCAATAAAACAGCAGACTTCTAATGGCATTGGAGCCCAGATCCGCGAATTGCCTCACGGATTTTATTTTTCTCAGAAAATTAAGAGTCCAGCTTAATCTAAAATGACTTAATCTATGAACGGCATTCTTGCACTTATGGTTTTCCCTCCAAAATAAATTCAAATCCATAAACTGTGGGCATGGTGGTGCCTAGAAAAAATTAGCCAATCCAATTTGCCTACTGTGAAAAGTGGATTGGCTACTTGTTTGTCAATCAAACATTTTTCGCTCCTGCCACCGTGACATTATTTACATTGGCTCCAAGCGTAACTCATGTAACTCCTGTTCTGCTAGCGGTGTCATGTTATTGGAACTTATGACTGGCTTAAATACTCATTTCATTCACCTTTCTAACTCTGCCCGGTTGCTCATTACCTCTAATCCACCTGCCCCTGCCTATATTTAAAGGTATAATGGACAATCTTGTACAGTATTTCTGTGAGGATAATCTAAATAAGTGGTTCTCTTAATTGCTGATCATTCTGGTGAAAGGCCATCCTAGATGCTTGTCCCGCTATCTTGGTCTGCGCATGCTCACTCTCAGGCGTATATCTGTGGTGAGCTACGGGTACAAACAGTCATTGAACCTCGCCTTTCTCAACACGGTTCTTTGAAAATGGCGGAGAGTCGTAAGAAAAACAGTGTCTATAAAGTGTATAAGAAGAAAAGAAAAGCCTCACAGGAGGCAGATATTTCTTGAAATGCTTTGCATGGAGAGTTCTAATCACAAAGCATTATGGAATTTGCTGTCACAGCTGCCCGCTGTCGACTGCCCAACAGCAGTGACTAATAGGAAAGATGGAGCAGGCACAGCACAGTGGAGGAGGAGTTACATGAGCAATGGTTAGCAAAAAGCAGTGATCATCTGTCTCAATGGTATGTTAACTTAGTTCGCTTTAAAGTCCACTATATATTCCCCGCTCTATATACTGTAGTGATTGAGGGATTTAGGGTATAGAGCTAATGCTCGGGCACAGTAAACTTGTAAGAGCTATGAGAACAGCAACTTTTAAACAGAGTGTGCACAAGTAGAAATGGGCTCATGCATGGTCTTGCACAAGTTTAATAGACGTTCCTTATCGAGAGCGGGCACAGGGTTGTGCATGTGCATTTTCTTTTAAGTGGAGAGGGCGGGTCTTTTAAGAAATTCGCGAAAATCCTCCACAATACCTTTAAGGGGCTTGTATCCAGTCATCAGGGCCGGATTATTCCTGTTCTCTCTAGCCAGTGGTGAGAGTGTTTTTTATCATACTGACCTGTTCTGCCTCGCAACCACTGAGCCTGCCTGTTTCCGTCTGAACGGTTTACCTGAACTGCCTTTGGGCTGCTGGACCCCTGAGCCTGCCTGCTCCTGTTATGATAGATTTGCCTGACCTGGCTTCGGTCTCCTGGACCTCTGAGCCTGCCTTTTTCTGTTCTGATCTGTTTACCTGATCTGACTTCGGACTCCTGGACCTCTTAGCCTGCCTGTTCCTGTTTTGGTCTGTTTGGCTGTCCTGACTTGGGACCCCTGCATGTTCTACCAGGCTACAGCATCTGAGCGGCGCCCGCCGCATCTTGTTGGCAGCCACCAGCTGGATCCTACGTCATTGGCTCAAGTTCGTAATCTTTCTCCGTTACATTTTCGTGGTCACTAACCTGTATTTTCCTTTGTCCAGTTTCCTTTGTCAGACCCCCTACCCGGTGCTACCACAGATCTGTTTGTTTTTAATAAACGCCTTTTGAGTAATTCCACTGTCTGTCTTGCATGAATACTGGGTGCTTCTGTTCTGAATCGTGACAAGCGTTCCGCCATTCCGAAGCATGAAAAAGTACTCCTATGTTTGTTTGCTGTTGCAGTTTTTTTTTTTTAGCTATTTGTTCATTCTTTGTCTAAACTGAGAGTCAATGACCGAAAAGAATCCTGACAAACCTAAAAGAAACAGAAAGTCATTTTTTGGCGTAGTTGAAAAGAGGAGAGAAAGTAGGAAAGAACAGAGCCAGCTAATGACTGTATGTTTAGGAGCTTTTTTCAGATATGTCATGTTCTGAAGGAGCAAAAGGGAATGAAAACGGATCCTTTGGTAGCAAAACTTCTGCTGGACAAGTAAATTACGATTAATTCTGCAGTAACTACTCTAATTATTTCAAATAACACCAACAAATTGTAAATATAACTTCCAGCGATAACGCCAACAGGGAGACCTCTTATTCTTATGGTGATTTCCTGCTGACTAGTAGGATCCTGGCACTTTTGTGCCTCTTTAGGTGAAATACAAAATCACCGGCAAAACGGGAATTTCTAATACCGATCAGAAGTATGTTAAAGTTTCTTTTTACATTCTTTTTACATTGGTCCATTGATTTTCTGTTATTACATCATGTTCTACTCACCCATATGGGTTTTGTGTCATTTGGAGCTGTTCCGAAGATATTCGGTTTTGTTATATCCAGGTAACATCTTCCTATGGGCAAAGAGTTGAAGGCACAGACTAAACTATTCATAATTTATTCTTTATGGTACGCCAGCATTCATAATATGTTGGCGAATCACTGTCCCCCAGACATTCGTAGTTATATTTTTTATATTTATATTTTTTAAAGCAAAGCGGAGTGTGTATGACGTCATCCGGACGCACCGGCTACCATTCATTCATCCTGTCCCCTGAACTGCTGCTAGTTTTACTCACATGCCTGGAAGATGTCTAGTGCTATTACATAAGATGATCTCTCTCTCTAAATGGAATTGAACGATTCAGATTAGCTAGCCGTATTAATAGAAGGCGTAGAGCGTAGCCGCCTGCGGCCCGGGCTGCCTGTCATAACTCCAGTGTGGCGAGCAGATGACGTCATACACACTCTGCTTTGTTTTAAAAAAGTATAAATGGTGTTCCCTTCAACAAATTTGTGTATGCAGTTCTGCCATAGTTTTTTCAGCTTATGTAAAAAGGGTTGAGCAGTCCTCCATTTGATGATCAAAACTATATTGTTTTGTGACTAAACCCTCCTTTAAATGTCTCTACTGCTCTGAGCCTCAGCTATCTGCTGCTTCCTTTGGTCTTCATATGCTTTTTGTTCTCTAATGATCTCTTAAATAACCTCTAAGGCCTTTAATGAACAGCTGTGTGTATACCGAGATAAAAATACTCTAGGGTAACCTGGATTCACTAATTAGGTGACTTCTAATGGCAGCTTCTTACTCTGGATTTTATTTAAGGGGACCAGCGTAGTTGAACATAACAATTTTATCAGTAGAAAAACACAGTATGTATTTCTTTTACTTCAACATTATGGGAAAGAATCATCCTAACACTGCAATATGTTTGTGTATTATATAACACCTCAACAAAATAAACAAAATTTGGGGATTGTAATGTACATACAGTATATACACGACTATAAAGGGGTTGTTCCTGCTTTGAGAAAGTACAACAGTAAGTTATTGGTGGTTCAAATAAAAATGTTTTTTAAACTTTACTTTGCCAAAGGCCAAGTAAACTATTACTTTTAACCACTTTTGTGTGTGACTTGTTCCTATCGGTGCCACCGGTAGCGTTTTTTGACACGGTGGTGCTGACATACACTAGTTTGACAGTGTGACATTTGAGCATGTGTAAAAAACTAAATAATAAAACAGTGGCTAACTGACAACAGCAGCTACAGTATTTTTCACAGCTTTTTTCCAGACAGGTGTCAAGTGTCCTTCTGTTCAGTTAAAATAGTGCCAAGCTTGGCGAGACTTTTCTTTCCTTAAGGGTTGTTTGCAAGGCCTTTGTTTTTCCATTTAGATGAGATCGGCATTTTTCACCTTAGCATATATTTGGGTAGTTTTAGATAGAAAAAACAAGAAAAAAACAGTATATCAAGTCCATAATTAAACCAACAAAATAAATGGAGCCAAACTCTATATCATAATTTTCCCCACTTCTTAAGGGTTTTAAGTACGGTAACTACTGTATATCCAGGGTAACTATATCCAACTAGGCTTACAAACAATTGTATTCAGCTTTTGTGGAACCGACAGCATAGGTATTGTTCAAATGAAACCTTTATCAGTGCTGCGTAATATGTTGCTTCACACAAGGAGTTGAATTGTGAAGAACATTATAGGACTATAAAGTTCTGCTCTCTATGAGCAAATTGATAGAATAAAAGGAGTAATGGAAAAAAGGACGATGTGTAAACAAAAGAGAAACGCTAGGCATAACAAACGGAAGAAATATTTATCTTCTAAACAAAAGTTCAGATTTCAAGTATTTGTTAACATATATATCAATATTTTATTGGTTATTTCTATTCTCCTCAAAAGAACGATTAGAAATCAGCACCACGGTGACAACTTTGTTCTTATTCTTTGTGAAGCAGGGAAGCAAATGACTTCAGGGTTACATCTACAGCAGTCAGGCAGTGGAGAATTCATACTTTCATATCATAACCATCACTATATTAACTTCTTGCGAAGGGATATTGACGTGTATTTAATGCTGAATTTCATTAACTCCAGGATCACATTACAACTGAAGAATGGCATTCCCCTTTCTTTTAACACTGTATCACAGTGATAGCTGAATAATAAAATAATACTTACTTCTGTAGATTTTACTTTTATTGTTTAGAATTAAATATGCAATAAAATCAACCACTAAGGGACTTAATATGAATAATATTAATAACTAATTTTATTTTTGATTCATTGTCAAAGAAGGCAAGACCTTATTATTGTTCTGCAAGGTTAGTGGGATATAGTGGGATTTAATATTCAATAAAATTGCTAATTATAACTGGATGGTGTTATTTTTTTGTATGGAGAATGCTGTGGCTTTTTAAAAATTTGAGAGGATGATCCTACTTTCGGACAACCGATTAAAACAAGAAGGAAAAAATATAAAAAATGTAGATTTACCTCAAAAGATTTAGAGCAAACGAGCCGTAGTCCAGTTATTATCAAGAATAAACCAGGTGTAGCTGCTTAGTCAAGTATCATTTTCTTCATTTATTTGTAAATATTTCAAAATATGTGAAATATTATGTGTCATCAGGAGCAGTGCTCTGGCGTGGCCTTCCTCCACTCCCCCAGCCTGAGACACTTTAATTGGTCTTAGGAGGCTGTTTCAGAACAAGACTCAGTGGTTTAAAAACAAGCACTGTTGGATACTGTTTACTTGTTGACACCTTCGAACAAGTGTTTCAGGCAACTGTGAACTCAATGGTGTGGGCACACCGAGGATGAAACCCAGAGATGTGTAAGCCTATATAAAATGGACAGTGATGACTTACTTTAAACTTCCTAATTATTTTGTATGCTTATATGATGCTGATGCCACTAGTCTGTGTCTAAAAATACTTTTGTAACCACTTCTCCCTTTTAGCAACCAAAGCTATCATTTACATAGGGAAAATATCAACATCAAGACAGAAGCTTACATTAAAAAATAATAACAGTATCTAAAAACATTTCATTCACTTTTGTTTGACATAAAAAGATTCAAACATAAAATTCAATTTTCTTTTATGAAATATAGTTTGAGCATTATGAATCCTCTAAGGTGAAGAAAGTGTAATTCGTCAAAATTGTTGTTGAAATTCCCCTCTAATCTAATGGTTTTGTTTTCGTGAAATCGAAAGCAAACCTATGCTGCGTTATGAGCCAGGTCAGTCAAAGCAGGGTGAGGACATGCAAATTTGCCGTTTGAAACAATGCCTGATGCTGTCATATCCAATAAAGACTGCTTGGGTAATTTAGTATAGTGTGTTTTTTTTTTTTTTTCCACAAGTGCCTATAAGATTTAAATCCATTATTCTGAATGAGTACACTGTCGCTGAGGGAGATACTGCAGCCAGATTCAATCTTGAAATAAAAATCACTGTGTTTGAAATGAAACTGCGCGTGCCATGGCTATTCCCTCACTGCTTGGCAGGACACTCCAATGAACTCTCAGTTGAAATCTCCTGCACTTACCGCCTTGGATTATTTGCTTGCTGGCATGGGGCCGTATTTCAATAGCTTTTGTCTCACTTCATCATAGCTATGCATCTTTTCAAAGCAGCTGTGTGGGTTTCATCGTGAGAATCAGAGCATGTCTTTCTAACTGCACATCTTTGAAAAAACAGCATGTACAGTGAGAAAAGAACTACATCTAGAGTAAGAATATGATGAGTGCTCACCTATGGGCTGACTTCTTTTTGCATAGATCACTCAAGGCCGACTAGTCAAGCGACTGTGTAAAAGGGATATTAGCCTCTCAGGTGTAAGAAACTTCACATAAACTGATGTTTGGTTATATTAACCTAGAGCTTAAAGAATTTTACTTCTTTAGCTAATATTTTTTGACAAAGCTTAAAAAAAGGCTTATTTTCTGTGCATAAGGCCATATCAAACTTCCAATGGTTAAACAAACTCCTCTTTAGTAGTCACAAAATATAAGGGCTGGGACACATTTTCAAGTAACAGATAAACCCCCATTGATTTCTTAAACATGTCTTTTCTACGGTGGCCAACAAATGCAAACACTCAGCTAACCTATGTATGATACAGTCTCCAAAAGATGCAAGCGCAAAAGCAAATGCAACAGAAAGAAAATGCTGCTAACAAGAAATGGTGTAATAACTCAAAATGGATTGAACATTGAGCCTTGTTAACCTACTTCTTTTTAAATGTGTGTATTTTGGGTGCATGTGTGTATTTGTAGGGAGTACAGCAAAGGCTGGGAGATGAGAGTGCTTACCAACACACGTAGGCACAGTGCCATTCCACTGGGCCAGGGCATTGGGCACGGCCTCGCACCTGATGGCATTGGAGCCGTGCAGTGTGTAGCCTGGGCTGCATTCAAAGAGCACCACCATTCCGATGCCAAAGTCATTCCCTATCCGCTTCCCAAAACGAGGCTCAGGGACTGAGCTACATTGAGTGGCGCTTGTCCGAGGTACAGCTATGGAAAAAAAAGGGAGGTAGCAAAAATCAAAGGAATGAGTATTAAATATGCTAAGCAGACACGCAAAAAGAGGAGGAGGAGATGACCAGACAAAGAAGGCAGAAGGATACATAAAGCCCTTGTGAATCTTCTCACACATTATTAGTCAGCCTTGCCCTCTTTGCCAAGACAGGCTATTTGATTCCCCATCATTCTGCTCTGCTAAGTCATGCCCAGACTCATTCACTGACACACGCCTGCCGCCTTTATGTAATAACTGCAAGAGTAGGCACTCACTGCTTAAGATAAGCAAAAATAAAAAAAGGAAACCTTACCTTGGTAAACAAAATGAAATCCTTTCGCCGTGTCTGTTCCATTCGCAGTAAACTTGAGGGTTATCTTGTTTCCTGAACTTAAAGGGAGTGTCTCCCCTAAAAAAGAGATACAGAGATAAAATTTTGAGGAAAGCAAATAAATCATCACACAAAAACTGAACAAAACTTTCCTCTTGTTTTGTTAATTTGCTTTGTTTTTTAATCTGCTGTTTTCAATGTGATGTAAAAAAAAATCTAGTCTAAGCTGCTCTACCATACTTTTTTAATAGAAGGGAAAACTTGAAATCATGTCATTTTATTGTGAAGTTTCTAATTGTTGCTGTCTTTTAAATGAATGTTTTAGTTGAGTTTTAACATGATTAATTTCTAATAGAAGTATGAGCAAGAAGCTTAGATTGTAAAGCTTAAAGCTTAATTATCCACCCTTCACATACAGATGATATGGCTACCTGAGTGAGATCCATATATGGAGGTGAGAAGGGATGAATCTGTTGAAGGTCCATCATAGATTTCGACCACATCAGTGGGCAAAGTCTGGAACACGACAAACTGCCCAAAGAGCACTGTAAAAAGAATGATGGAAGGAGACAAAAAAGTAGAAGACAATAAGTCGCATTGTGATGTGTTGGGGAGCTAATAACAGATCAAAATGCTCTGTCTGGGCCTGTATGTTGAGGCCTTTCACATTCATAAAGATGAAATACTAATTGCAATGAATGATAAATGCCTTTACCCAAGGCGTTTATAGAATAGCAATATAATTCTGTAAGGGTCTTGACTTATTCTTTAATTATCTTTGTTTTTCTTGTAATAAGACAGACTTTCTTTGTCGTTAAAGCGGTCTAGAGCTATATCTACCTACAAAGATTTTTGATAGAAACCGTTTATAATGGGATTTTTTCTCTTTAGGCTTTGGAGGATTTTTCACTCATTCATATTCAGCACCTTGTTTTAGAAGAATGTTTTTATTTACTAAGCCAATCGACTTTGCTGTATTGCATACTTGTTATTGATATACAAGAACAGCAAATACCACTTTATATACAGTTCATGTACTGTTTATTTAATCTGAACATCAATCAGTTTTGTCTTACCCTCTGATGATTTTTCATTAATGAAACGATGCCCCCAATCTGTACAGTACCTGCTTCTTAATTTAAACCCACCCTGTCCCCAGGTTTTCTGGTAATTTATAAACGTGCATTATTGGTAAATTGACATATCATTCTGTAAGTTTCTTTTCCTCAGATTGACACTCTTACTGTAATATAATTACAGTACTTGTGTTTAAACTTCACATTAATCGTATCATAAAAGTTGCTTAAAAAGTTTAAGAGCTGCAGTGGTAATGCATCCTCGGTTTTAAAAAGATGCTTTATATTGGTCAATGCTTTTGCAAGGACGGTCATATCTGGTCTGACTGTAAAACCTTACCTTTTCTGAGCAATTACTAGTTAACTATTCATTGGAACTGTGTTTTCTGTTTGCTGTGCCAAAACACAGCACATAGAAAATGACCTTCAGACAGCACAGACAAATTGTAATTAGACTCAATTTTACATTGAGGATATTCTTAAAGCACATAAAACAAGTCACAAAAAAAGCTGCTTTTTTCAGTCAGAACTACATTTTTTTCTTATATGTTTGAGTTCACTTTCAGCTTTGACACACATCCAAACAGAGGAGAGGAACAGACTGAATGTAGAGAATAGCCTAGTATTAGCTGTTTTTCCACACCTGATCAAAGCTAAGGTGTAAAAAAACAGCTGATACCATGCTGTTCTCTACATCCAGTGTCATGGATGATGAAAACAGTGTAAAACAAATGATGTGAGACTATAATTTTGTTTGAGTATTTTGTTTCAAATTCATCCAGTTTAAATGTGATTATAGGGGAGATAGACAGAGGAGCTCCAGTTTTACAAACACATGCTTATAATATTTTATTTTGTATTTATTTTGATTCCTTACTTCCAGGCAACATTTTTTATGAGGTAAAAAAGAATACAATGCCAAAGAACTAAATGTCCAAGTTAAAAAGATTAAATAAAATACTCTTTACTTTATAATTATTTATTGTATGTTCCTCTTTTAGGCAGTCATCAATACTTTTGACTGAGAGGGGTACTCATGGAAAGACAAAATACCCAAAGGGGTACACAAGTCAAAAAAGCTTGGGAAACACCGCTCTAAGGGATCCCTTGGCATTTCAGAGCAAAACTTAATCTCTTCAGCAAGTTCTTGTCCTACTCTGAGGACTTATCCCAGTGGGATATGGCTAGAAAACTACAAAAGAGAACTGTCCAACAGGCAACCTGAAAAGATGCCTAAAGCTATCAACTTTTGGTATGGAGTTGAAATGTGGCTGTTTTCTGAATTCCTCAAGAATATCCAGACTCATAGACCTGCCTCTAAGGCCAACCACCTAAAGACATAAACTAATTTCAGCTGCTTGTATGCAGAATCCTATTGTTTTAGTTATCATCAATATCTTAAGGCCTTAGGAGAGGGACAGAAAAAATGGACAAATAAAATGAGAGCATTTTCATTACTATTGGAATGGCTGTGGTAGCATTATAACTTAACATCATTTCCCTTATTTTATTATTTACTACCAAAGATTTGCATAAAACTCACATTCATTCAGACAAAATCCTCTCTGTTCATCTGCTACTACATCCTTTAATCCCTTTAATTACAGAAACCCCCCAAATCATAGGACATTAGTGTAGGCCATTGCTCACATAAGATAATGAAGATATAACGGTTGTACCTGTTGCTGCAGGCAAAAACATGATTGTTTTCAGTCACATAAAGGTTGTAATAGAAGAACATGTCATCTGTACAAGGCGTATTTATTTTTGGACATCAATTGTGAACTTCTAACATTTTCTAATTTTAAGGTGAATTAATTCTGTCTTATTTAATTTCAATTATACCATTTGAGGATGGCTGAACAAGACAAGGTTGACAAAGATTAACAATTAACAAAGACTGCATTTCGTTTTAATTTAGAAAAAAAAATTAATTCTCATTTAAAATGTCATGCAGCTTAAAATGTGAGGAAACCTCTAAAAAGGTTATCCGTCAATCAGGAGAAAATAGGAGGATAAAAAGGTATTAATGGAATTCCTCTGAACCTTTGTTACAAATATTCACATGCATTTTTATACTGTGGGAGAAAATCAAAGTACTTTTAGAATAAGAATCAGAATTACTTTATTATCCCTTGTGGGAAATTCTTTTCTTGCAGTGCAACCATTTAAAGAGAGAAAAATACGATTGTTAGTATAATACAGCGAAATAAAATTTATAAAAGAGAATAAAATGAGTTAAATTTCACCCTTCCCATATGAATGGTGTAAAATAAGATATAGGAATAAAACAAGACAAGGATAAGAATAAAATTAGATAAAAGTACAAACAACAGTATTTACAATTTATAATGCTGCTCAGTAACTGAATTACTATCATTGCACATTAACTTGAAGAAATCAGCACTGCAATGAGGAACATACAATAAGCCATTCTTGAAATACCATTTAATGTATGAGTGTTAGTCCAAGAAATAAAATAAAAAAAAATCCCTGTCTATGAGCAAATAATTTAACTGATTAAAAATGAAATAGCAGATATTTTTCTTTTCTTCCTCAGGTGAGGTCTGTGCTAGAACTGTAAAAGTTTCTAAATTAAATGGCAACAGATTTTAGTTTAGGATGCTGTCCTGCTTAAAGACCAGAAATCTTCAATAAATATGGTGCTTTTATATAGAAGCATGAATTCACTCACATTCCGGGAGATGTTATTGTACCTTTTCATGAAAATAGTTTACTTTTGCGAAAATAATTCTTGATAGATTTAGTATATATAATTCTCCTGTTTAGGCTTGCTCAATTACAGTAGCCTGAATTCTGTGTGCAGGAAATATGAAGATTCAACTATCAAAGTGATCTACTTTCCTACAAATGAAAAACAGTGCATTTTGGATATAAGTAAAAAAAAAAAAATGTTAATCTCTTTGCAATTTATATAGTTTTGCATGGTTCTTACAGCACTAAGCCTTTAATAACACCACAGTAGCAATAACCACACAAAAAGGCCTAAAACAGAAAATTAGGATGATTCAGAACCAAACAGGCACAACATTTATTTAAAAGATACCAGAAGCAAATCTGTCCTTTTTTTCAAATGATAAGTTGGTTTAAACTGACCTCCTAAAACTCCGACACGAATCGTAAAAGGTGTACCTATTGATTGTACAGAATTAAATATAAATAAATTCAGTCTAAACACAAGAGGGTACTATCTTAAAGCACAGTGCTCTGCTGTAATATTAGCACACAAATGCTCACTAGATGGTCACACTTTACTGCTTAGTAAACACAAGCACACAACCTTAAGCAAGCATGCTTTTATATACATGCTCACAAGCACAATGTTACTCATTTCCGCCTTTAATCTCACACCAACTACGAGGTGAGGAAATCATTTCTAGATATTAAATAAATACATCATGGGAAACTTGTCGCGTATTTTAAGCAATGCTAAAATTAATCTGTTGTCCTCTGGGTCTTATCATGGTTGGGAGAACCTGATGCACTTTGACCACAAACATTTTTATGTCTAAGTCTTCTCCTTGAATTACTGCAAAGCCCACGAGTCACTTTAATAAGACCTCTTGATATTTGGCCTTTATACACAAAACGCAAGCACTGGGATGTAGGAGTATGAATAAAGATACAAAAAAATGTGTATTTCTCTAAAGAGAATATTCATTTATAAGTGTTTCTATGTCTTAAAAAAAGCCTGTTTGTTGGTCTCTCGAGTTCTTTAGGTACTTGGTACCAGCTTCCTAACACAAAAAAATAAAGAATAGAGCAAACACCTGCTTCAAAGACATGACTTATCTTGATGCTGTGCAGTATACACATCTTTTCATTTAGACCCATTTCGACTTTTTGATACCCCAAGCAAATGCAACTGTTGTTTTTTTTGGTTTGAAAAATATAAATTTGTTTATTTCTTGAGATGAGAAAGAAGAAGAGAGAAAAACAGATTGAAAGTTAACTCAAATTGTTTTCAAAAATCTCAGCTTGGTAACTTGGATTTAGTTACATGAAAACAAACAAACAGGACTGCAGGTATTTGCCAGCACATCTACAGGTGCTCTATTGAGCTGTGATCTGAAAAGCGTGCAGGGAAGTAAAGTGAAATAAAATCAATGTTATGATCATGAAGCCATTAAGAGAATGAGTGACAAAGTTTATGATGCTGTGAAAGTGTCCATTTGAAAAATTGCCGACTGTAGGGATGAATGGGTTCACCTGGTCAGTGAGTACAAGTTGGAGTGGGAGTAGCACTCAGATGGTACTACTGTTTAACATTTTCCACTTTATAACACTTTCACAAAAATTGATGTGCTGCTAAATTAATACTTTATAAGGCTTGTTTTGAAAACAAAACTTTGAATGTTTGGCTAAGATGAGGAATTCTTTATTGTAACTGATTAGTGTTTGAAAGCAATTTCAAAGCTTTGATATTTTCAGCTCGATCTAAGAAAACT